ATGAATAGTTTCCTAAAATGCTAGAAGAAAACATGGCAAAAGAATAAGCACTTAACTTAGAGAGAATGAATCTCCAGGTAATAATTTTCTTATTTTCCAATTATACTTATTTTCTTTTTTCCTTTCTTGTGTTAGTCCTGAAGCTTGAACTTGGCTCTTAGGCATTCCCTTAGCTTTTTGATCAAGTCTGATGCTCTGCCACTTGAGTCACACCTCCACTTCCAGCTTTTTGCTGATTCATCAGCAATGAGTCTCACAAACTTTCCTGTCCAGCCAGCTTCTAACCACAATCCTCAGATCTCAGTCCTCTGAGTAAAGGATTACAGGTATGAGCCACCAGTGCTTGGCTGTACAAATTCTCTCAATCCACCTTTGTATTAGATTTATGTATGAAAATTCTAATGAATTGATCACCGTAATGATCACCGTACAATGAAGTCAGGCCTAACTCCTTACTAAACAAATACGCTATTGTTAACTATGATCATTATATTGGAAGAGGCTTTGCCACACCTACTCTGAATGTGTGAAGAGGGAATGAATTAAAGATACCCTGCCTGGGGAAGATCTCTATACCTGGACACCTGCCCCTCTGTAAAACACTTATTTGCCCTTCTACTCAACACTGCTCAGTAGAGCACTCAATGTGCTACCGTCACATGACTCCTCACTTTATCTTTCATTGTAGTTAATTATGTATAGGCATTTATTTCTCCAGCTGAAATCAAAGCCATGTGAGCCAGAGGATATTTTATTTACTTTTTCTTCTTCATGTCTGTCACAGCTTATTGAACACAAGACACCCAATGAATATTTATCAAGTGAATAAACAATACTCCTGTCTCATTTTGGATTTTTGTCTCCATAATGGTGAACTTATATTTTATTTATCAAATTAAGCATCAAATGCTAAAGAGTTGTGCTATAATCTGATATGAGCTACATTGTATTAGAGTTCTCCGAGTTTGGAGAAATTCAGGCACAGTAAACAAAAATAATGCTAATGCATTAATGATAAAGTATTTACAATAGAGTGGCTTAACTGCTATAGTGATAATTCAGAGTTTTTTATATAACAAATAGTTAATGTATAAGTACTATGCACTGAGAATTGTACTGGTAAACAAAAGTGATTAAAATTTATATATTTTCCAAGAGGCTGTAAAAGTATCAGAGAAAGAAATTTTTCAAATACATTTTTCTGTCTATAATGCAATTTTAAGTGCACAACCATTTTACATGTTGTTGAAAATGAAATTATAAAAATGTCTCTTCTCATTTCTCTTCATTGGAAATGCTATATTTAATTTTCATATGAAGAATAGTTTTTACTATGACTTCATACATCAGAATATTTATGTCATTAAGGTAAATTCATCAAAAAAGAATATAAAATATAGGTTCAATTTCAAAATTCATAACACAATAGTCAATTATATTATTCAGTTTATATTTATATGTTGAATTTACATTAATATAACATTTCTGTTATAACTGACTACATGTACATATATATTATAGAAAAATACACACAGTCAGAATTACTTCTCAAGTCCCTATCTTTTATGGTTAAATTAGAAATACACATAAAAGTAGTTATAATCTTTTTTTAATTGAAGGCAGGGAACTAGCAGACAAGTCAATGAGATTATTATCTTCAATTAACCAGCAGGAGCATTATAACTCAAGAGGTAGAGTATCAGCCTTGAGCAAAAAGCTAAGCACCAGCATGAAGCTCTGAGTTCAAGCCTCAGGACCAGTACATGCTGTGTATGCATGCACACACACACACACTAATACACACACACATATAACACACACATGCATGCACAGATACACACACCCCAAAAAGAAAAATATGAAAATTGAGCCACACAAAGATAGTAAATAAAATCCACCTTTATCACATAATAGAGACTTGAGTTGAATGGTCTTGTGCTTATTAATGTAACTATGTGGATATATTGTACAGTCTGTGCTATTCTGTAATTTACTCATGAGTAATATTTTTCATATTTTCTTATGAGTGCCATTTCATTTATGAATCCTTATCTAACAGTGTAAATTTGCATTGTTTCACTATTACTGTAACTAAAATTCTGTGATTACCATCCTTATAGAAAATATATTTGTATAATTATGTTACTGCAAATCATACTGGTTTCTGAATTCTGAACAAATGAAAAATAATTTAATACTGCCTTGGTGACTCAAGATTGTCTCTACAAAAATACATCCCCATATTCCTTGCAGATTAAAGTAGTAACTTTTTGGTCCAAGGTCCAATGTCTGAGCTGAAATCCTGGTTATGTGGCTCAAGCAGTACAGCACCAGCCATAAGTGTAAAAGACAAACAAGAATTCAAGGTCCTGAGTTCAAACACCAATGCTAGCAAGAAAACAAAAAGAAAGAAGTCCAAAAATATAGTAGAACCAGTAATATCCATGTCAGATTCATCCAACATCTATTGGACTTATCCTGTTTTATTCCAAGCTCTATCACTTAAAAGAAATGAGAGAATCTGAAAAAATCTTTTAGAGAGAAGTTCTAAAGCTACCACAAATTGTAAGAACAGTGTCTATGGAACATTTTCAATGGTCCATTTTAGAAAAGAGCAATAGTAATCCACATGTAGTTTTAATTTTGTGACTTTTGAAACAGTTACACCTGCAAGAAAGGATATATAAGAAAGCTATATGCTTTACTTCTGTTGCCAGGCAGGAAATTCACAGAAGATCACACACACAAAAAAAAAACCCATACCTGACTGTCAAGGACAGTTTTGTCTTTTAAAGGCAGACTCAAATCTCTTCTGGCTAATACTCATCAAACTTTGCCTAAAAGTCAGTGAAACAGAAAGATACTTTATACTTGTAAAATGAGTAACAAAGTAGTGATTAGGCCAGGAAATCAGTGCTTACATCATTTAAGTAACCATATGTTACTTAAATGGTATTTATTATTATGAGTGCTGTGATATATGGGAAAGAAGTCAGAGAACTAGAAGTCTTTTCTCATTACTTGGGATCTGAACTAATTAGAAATCTTACAGTAATACAATAATATGATTTCAGTTGAAGTGGACTATTGGTTTGAGAAGGTAATTTAATCATTTATTCATATTCCCTAAATGATTTTCTTGAAAGATAATGGCTAACCTAACCCTTCAAGGTATCTCCATTAGAATCCCAAGAGTTCTAGGGCTAAACAGCTTCCTTTGCATACATGGCAGTTTCCAGGTTGAAAATTCAACAAGGTCACAAAAGCTTAATGAAATATAGAAAGAAGGTCAGCAGTTTGGGGATAGACCTCAGGGCTATCCTAGGAGTTTGAGGTCAGATGATTGATAGAGAAAAAGAAACCAAAGATTTGCCTTCTGAACACGAGTTTCACAAGGTATATCTCTGGAAAAATATTTGGGTATAGTTATTTTGATCTAAGATTTTGACATTACTACGTAAGAGAAATTCTTTATGTTCAGTAAGTCAGTTGAATTTATAACGCATGAGACATTCCAGTTGCATTCAAACCATGGCTCTAGGAGCACAGGATGCAAAAGTGTGGATCTACCAGGAGAAATTTGAGAGAATACATAGACCTAGGATTAGATCATTTGGTCACCACCCCCAGCATTACAGACCATTCATAAGTCTAACTACTGCTCAGTTTGTGCTGAAGAAACATCTCTGCAGCTATAGAGTGAAATCAATAAACAAGACTGCTTACATTGTGGAATATTAATATTGCCGCATATAAATTCTTAGAGTTATCTTCCCTAAACTGCTAATAGTAAAGGAGTTAGTTTCAATAAGCAATTCTATAATAAATTCCTTTTTTTTTCAAGGCAAATACTTCACCTCTCTTGTCCATCAATATCATAACAATTATAATTCAAAAAGATGCCAGCTCTGGCCAGTTACCCAAAGAAGGTGGTAAGATCAGCTTTCAGAGTGTGAGAGCAGAATCCTCATGTTATGACATAATGACAACAGAATATTTCTTTTTTTTAATTTGTTTTACCCTAACAAAGTATTTGCAAATAGAGAATAAAAAACAAATCTAAATCTTTAGAATGAAATAGATCTTGTTCTGGGACTCTGTTTTTCCAAACTTGATCTGCATGTAACTGCAGATTTTCTTCTCTTACAATGGGCTAATTTGCATTTTCTATAATTTCATACAAAAGGAATCACACAGGAGGTAGTGTCTTTTGCCTTGTTTCTTTCTCTTGGAATAATGGTCCATGTTGTTGGCTGTATCAAACAATATCAATTTCCTTTCCTTTCACGTTGTTAAAGATTTGACATGAATGTGTCAAGGTATATTTCTATTCATTTATGTGTAGATGGTCATTTGAACTGTTTCTAGCTTGGGTCTGTTCTAAGAAAAGTGATTCTATAAATAGGCGCAAACACACTTTAAATGGGCACATGCTTTCTTTTCTCTTGGATAGATAACAGTGGGATGGCTGCATTTATATGATAGATGTAAGTTTAACTTTTTAAGAAGGGTCAATTCTTTAGCAAAGTATACCTAATACATTATATATATATATATATATATATATATATCACTATAGCATATATAATTAGATTAATTAAAGTTAGATTATGTTCAGCATTAATAAAGCTGTGGAACACATGTAACTCTTACCTTTGCCGGTGGGGAACCTGGAATGTTGGGATCACTTTAGAAAACAGGATAGCCAAAAGGAATGCAAGCCTGTATTTATGCATAGATCTATGCATGAATGCACAGTGTTAGATGCAGTAATCCTACTGTGGAAACAGCACAAAAGCCCACAGACAGGTAAATGAATACTCTCTGCTTCCACTCTCACCATGAAAGCATCACAATATGAAATAGCCACTCTTACAGCTGTACATGTAAGACCTAAGAAGTCAAAGAAACACTCCCTTCAGGGAGGGTAAATACATCACTCCTCACGATCTAAGTATAATTTCATCTTTGCACCACAGAACTGAAGTCTAGCATCTTACCTATGTACTTGTAGCCTTCCTCTCCATCTACGATGGGTCTGAGCCAAGTTGACTTAAGTTGTAAGTTTTGATGTACATGAGCCCCAAGAGGAGGGTAGAGTGTAAATAGCATTTCAATTACTTGGGACTTCTGGATTATTTCAGAATGTTTCCTTGGCTTATCTGTGAACAGAAAAAAAGAAGGAGCATTTGAAAATGTTAAGTTCCAGATAATTTACAGATTGTTTTACTGTTTTTAAAGAGTTAACTTAAAAGCAAACTAACGATTTGAATACTGAGCATTATTAAGCATGAATTTTCTTTCATTGGTTATTTTAGTCAAGGATCTTTATTGGACACATAATTCCTTGCAAAAATGAAGGAGTCGGAGCTTTGCTGGCATCATCTTTCAGTACTGTTATTTGAAAATGACGTTTATGAAATCTATAGAAAAAATGAAAACAATCAATGAACAGAAGTCATGCCATCTACCCTATAAAGAGCAGCATATATTCACATTTTATAGTCTGTATTCTTAATTATCATTAAACAATGGAAGCAGATTAATGGCAAAACATGTTGAGTAAATGTAAAGTGTTTTAAATAGAAACCACTGAAAGAATGAATATTCATAGGCTAATTCTTTAATGTAAAAAAATGCCAGAAGTAACTTTTTAAATTTGTCAAATATTTACAAAACAGTTATTAGGAGCAAATATTACACTAGATGTTTTAAAATGTTATCATTTAATTTCCATAACACATATACGAGATAAATCCTGTTATTATTTATTTTATCTGAAGAAACGAAGACTGAAGAAATTAAGGAACTTGCCTAAATGTCAGTTTGTCAATGAAGCAGGTCAGATTCAGTCCAGATTGGTTGTAAACAGAACTTTGTCAGTTGAACCTGAGTCACATTAACTAGTAGATGAGAAAACTGGTATCTAAAAAAGGATCTAAAGATTGGAAAACTAAAATGTCTGTGTGTGACTGCTGGCCCACCAGTTTGTAATTTCAGTTTCAGGTTGAGGTGTGTCCTAAAACTTTCTACAACAATCTCCTGAACTACAAAGTAAGTCTATGTAGAAAATTCAAAAAGGAAGATGCTAAAATAACCTCTGCTCAACACCTTGGTGTATTTTTCTTCCTTTCTTTCTTTCTTTTTTTCTTTTTGACGATTTTTATTGTTAAGTTACATGAGCAAGGTAATGAGCACATTTTCTATTGAGCATTGTTGCCTTCATTTTCTTAAACATCATGTTTTTTTTCCCTGGTAAAGTAAGTACAAGGATGTTTTAACACAGTGAAGAAAGTACATCTGTTGGTGCCAGTAAGCCAACTATCAATCTGAAATCCAACAGTTCCAGGAAGTGGTGCTGTCGCTCAAGCGGTAGAGCGCTCACCTTGAGCTGGAGAGCGCAGAGGTAGTGCCCAAACCCAGAGTTCAAGCCCCACGACTGACAAAAAACAAAACAAAACAAAATCCAACAGTTCCAAAGCCATTCTTCGCGGTCCTGTTTTGAAGATGAGAAACTTTCATCCTTTGTTCCCTGACACAGCGTTCAGTATTAAACACAGAGGGCAATGGAGACAGCCAGAGGAGAAGAGGTGTCTTCCTGCCTCCAGAACTTCTTCCCATGGGTTTCTGCAGTACACGTTACCAGCCATGTTGGGTTGTTTGCCTAACAACAATGGAGCAACCTCTTCTTCTGGCCACTGTGTTGTTTCTGGACAAATCATCGGTGTACAACCAACAATCTCAATCTCTACAAGATTTTTAAAAATTGTAAAAATGTCTAAATTTCTACAATTTCTAAATTTCTACAAAAATGTCCTTGCTCAGTCCCACAGTGTGATATCTCTCTGCGGACAGTCATCCACCAGAGCCCCCAAAAGCGGATGCCCATGAGATCCACTCTGTGCCTCCTTAGTAAACTCCTAGGTCATTTGCTGGACCCCAGAGCTCACCTTCTCCTAGGTCATGCGGCACCAGCGTGGGGTGAGTGGCCATTGCTACTCATCCAAATCTGTGCTTCTCAATTCCTCACAGATCTCTTCCCTCTTGAGTAGATAATCACAGCTATTCTACTTCCTGTGATAGTTCATAATTCATCAACTTAAGACTCTTCTTGTTCAAATTCAAATTACTTTGTACTTTCTGCTATCTGCTAATTGGACTCTAATTCATATGGACAGATTTGAATCCTAATGCTTGAACCACTTTTAATAAGCTTTGAAACATTAAACAAATCAACTTATCTCCAAGTGATCACAATGACTTATTGTTAAGATTAACTGATATAAGACACATAAAATACTTTACATAGCACCGCGCCTTTATATAAGTACTAGATAAGGAAGTTACTACTTTTCATTGAGTATTAATAATAACTATAAATGTTGGGAACAAATATGTTATTGTATATGGAAAATTGAATACTACATCCTACTAAAAGTTACATCCAATTTAACAGTGATATTCATAAGACACTATATTGAAAATGAACTTTACAATTTTTAGGAGGGTGGGAATCGGAGGGAGGGAAAATAAGAGAAAAACGAGAGAAGAGGTAACAATGCTAAACAATAAATGTACCGATTACCTTACTTATGTGACTGTAACCCTCTGTACATCACCATGACAACAAAATAAAATTAAAAATAATAAAATAAATAAAGGCTACATAACAAAAAAATCCCCAAACAAAACCATCCTCACATGTCAGTTATGTAGGTATTACATGTATCACCATTCTATCATTATAAATCTTCCTCTCTTGTACGTCAGCAGGAAAGAAGAAAGTAAGGAGAGCTGCAAAGCTGGGGTAAGCTCCACTGCACTTCACTCTTGGCCCCAGTCAGACTTCTTCAAGGAACTGACCAGCAAAGCTCCTTGGGATTGGACAACTTTCCCTGTTGTAAAGGAAACCAGGACTAGAGATTGCATCACAAGAACACATGCAGCAAACCAAACACAGCACACGAGATAGGCACAAAGAGCAGATCAGAAGCTTCTCTTTGAAATCACAGGAAAAACCATGAATCGTTTCAGCTGCTTACGATGAAAGCATGGGATGGCACAGGGAGCTTCTCTCCTCCCCTGCGCTTGAATTTTCCTAGTTCCTTTAGCTTAAACGTGGTGTTTGGTAACTTTAGCTGATAGGATTATGCTTATTAGTTTTAATAGACTATTTCATTTTCCATCTAGGAAAATGCTTCAATTACAGGCAAATAAAAATACTTTCACTAAAATCTAAGTTATAGTGAATGTACAATTGCCACTTTTATTTTACTGGTTTTCTCTCACTGGCTAAATTTAATCATATCCAGGGGTGCATACATATATTCCTAATAGTGTGTGTGTGTGTGTGTGTGTGTGTGTGTGTGTGTGTGTATGCGCACAGGCACCCATGCACTATCATAGGCTAAAAACAATGGCAATACAATTTAATTCCCTGTGTCATCTCCTAAATAAGATAGGGCAATGACTTTTTAGTTCTCATAGTAGGTAAGGCTCAGAATTTCAGCTCAGAAGCCTCCACAGAAAACACACTGCAGACACTCACTTCCCCTTGTAACCATTTACATCTCATACTTGGTTTGCTATGTGTGAAGAACAGAATTTAAACCCTGTTGGGGTACAGGTCCTCTTTATCGATAGACAGTTGAAACCTAAGAATAAGTTTCCCCTGATCTCAAAATGCAATAATGAGACAGGCACAAGCTATTATTTGGGCATTTCTATTTATAAGCTACTTCAGAGCTTAGCTAGGCACAGTCTGTTAAGTTTTCAAAGGCTAGAAATCACTCTGGTTTTAATTCTGCCTTCGATATCATCACCCTTCATTCCTGAAAAATTATCCATAGTGCTGCAGTTAAGTAGTCTTAAAAGTCTGCTTTCTGCCTCTATTCTTTGAATATCGAGTGCCTTTAAAAAGCAATTCATACTGGGATCTTCCTCCTCCACGTTGGCCATACTGCAGAATGAAGTTCTCAGGAATCACGTGCATCCCCGTTGCTAACCAGTGAAGTCATTCTATGTGATTAGAGGCCACTGCACTGAGCCCCAGGAGCAGCCAGGCCGCAGCCCCTCCTTCCACTTCCATGACTACACCACATACTCCTTCGTTCACACAGTTTCTTTCACACTGGGTCATTTTTCTCTGGGAGATGAATTAGCAAAAAAAAATTCCACTTTCCCAGATTTCCTTTGAGAGCAGGCTTCCCCACCAATGAATCTCTCTACAGCTGCATCCGTCATAATCTTGAGGCACTGCACGTTTCCCAAATCATCTAATCCTGTTGCCTTTTTTGTCTTTACAGTGCTCTCAAATACAGGCCTTCCCTGCTACTTAATCTAAGCAGTGAAAACAAATCATGCCGTACTTTCCAGTCTTTGCTTAGAAATCTCCTTAAACTAAATGCCAAGGGTTCTAGTCAACAAGTTATACTTCTCATTTGATTGCCACTAGCTAACACTACATGTGCCTTTCTGGTTCCCAAAAGCACATTTCCTCATTTCCTTTTGAGCCTCTAATAGCAGCACCTTGACCGTCTACACTTCCCCCAGCAGGCTATGTACTTCAGTGCAGTTGATCTTTCCTCTTCAGTTCCCTTCTGAGTCTTCATTAGCAAAGTCATTGGCATCCATATCTGTACTGATCACTGTTCTCGGCAACCTGGCTTTTTCCGTCAAGAGTTCTCGCCTCTCCACACTGTCCAACTACACAACCGTAGACAATCAGTATCAGTGCATGTTCAGCTGATAGAAAGTCAGTAAGAGAAACCCATCACAAGATACACTAAAAGAATGGACCCACTGATTTAAGGAGGAGGAGGAACAACTAGGGATGCCCTAAAGCTCATCAGGGAAAAAAAAAGGCTGGCATCCTTATAGACACTGAAGTTAATGTCCTCAGGCATAATTTCCTCTAGAGAAGTCTTGGGTTTAAGAACCTTTCAACTGATGGTACCAAATTACCTAGGATAATCTGTGGTGGTGGTGTGTGTGTGTGTGTGTGTGTGTGTGTGTGTGTGTGTGTGTGTGTGTGTGCGCGCGCGCGTGCTTGAGTGTTTCTGTGTGCATGTACACATGCTATACATTCAACCCAGTTCTTTAAACATGCTAGGCAAGTGCTCTATAACTGGACTTCAGTGATAGCCCCAAGATATTCTGCTTT